AGATCAGATGTGGTCAGTTTACACTTTAAAAACTGACTTAAATGGGACTTGAGCATATGCTTAAAATCAAACTCGTGCTTTGCTGAATTGAGAACTTATGTATGGGCACCTGGTGTGGCCTTCCGTAGCTACATGCTTAATGAGTGTAATGCAAAAATTCTGTACAACAGTATTGTTCATATTAAACTGAACTGGGCATGTGCAGTGTGACTTTCAAGGGGTCATATCCCATCAGATCAAAACCAGTCTTTGCTAGAAAACTTGGAGGCATATCTCCTCCATAAAGATGATAGTGGGGACAAATGTCAGCTTCCTATCCTAAACCTACTTGCTGCTAGAGCTGTTCAAAAAAGGTCAAAGGTTTTGTTTTGTTTTTGTTTAGAATGGAGAGTGTATTTTTTGGTCATCCTATACTCAATAGTTGCAATTTCCCCTTCCGCCCACCAGTTTGCAGAAATTCTCACCTATGAGCTGTGTGTAACCTATGGACAAGTTATACTGGAGAGGGAGGACCATACATAAATGAGGCTAACAGTGCTGATCATAAAAAAATAGGTTTACTTGTAGTTGCAGTGTACTGGATCTCCAAAACACATCACTTCCATCAGCCACTTGCTTTAGAATCTTTAGAGATGCAACGGCATTCCCGGTGTACATACAGTAAAGTTTGTATAAATAGAAACATCAGCTGAAATGTTCCAAGGCTTTGGAACATCTTAACTTTAATGGGAACTGAGGGTGTCATTTTTAGAAGTGACTAAGAGAGCTAGCCCAACTTTCAATGGGAGTTGAATCCTTTTAGTTGTTTTATTAAAATCCTATCCTGTATGTCCAAACGCATTACATGGTTCTGACAATCTCAGCTGTCACTTTGAGTCTTAACAATTGCGTGGATTTGACATAGGATGAACAAATTTCCTGCTTAATTAGCAATTTCTGTTAAAAAATAAAAACCAAAACACAAGTTAACATTTTTAACAGCTCGAGAACGTACACTGAAGCTGAACTGTCAGAATGCAAGAAGAAATGATGGAGTCACAGGAAGTACAGAGCTCATAGTCATAGGTATGCAAAAGCCATCACAAGTATGGAATAACAAAGTCAATAGCTAAGCAGAAACACACTTGACATTCAATAAAAACCAGTTATGGACAAAAGTTCAAACAAAGGAAAGAGATGCATGGAAAACTTAATGGAGAGTTTTGCAATCTGAAAAAGACAAAATACCCTTTAAAACATGAGCAGAATTGGCAATTAAAGTACAGTATTCATTATCAGTGTGCACATGTATTAACTAACAGTTTGCTTTTGACTTTTTCCCACTTAGACTTCTTCCACTTTAAGCATTCTTATTTTTTTGGCTCCAGTTCTGTTTAAAAATACCAGGCATCATTCAAATACTTACTGATATTCTGATCCAAGAACAATGAATTATAAAAGAAATCTAATTGCAGTTTGTGTAGTTATACAAATAACAAGAAGGCTCTCAATAACAAGGGTAACAAGAATACACTTAAATAGTTACAATGAAACTTTAGTTTATGTTCTACCCTCAAGATCAGGAAAAATGTCATCTAACCTGAAAGGGTGACTTTTGTACAGGCCTATATATTTAAACTGGTGAATAAAAAATGGAGGAATACAGATTAAACCATCTGAACTATAAAGTAACATTGTACTGTATTTTGTCCATGTTTAAAGCTCCCCAGATAATCAGCTGTTTGCTAATATTCTCAGAACTGTACTGACATCCTACTCCACACCTCCATGCTGTATCTCCTGTGACAGCATGAGCACTGGAACAAACCTGCTTGTGTGCGATATTCATTTTCTGTTGGAAGCTTGCTTACCTTGCCATCAACATTACACCACCAAGGTTTCACAATCTTATGCAGTTCAACATGTTTGCCATATTTCTGACTTCCATCAGGAACCTAAAACCTCATTACAAGTGATAGTCTGTTGCATTGTGTATAGCGGGAGACTGAGGAAATCAAGTGTGATGCTTCTCTGATAGCTTGAAAAATTGAAAATAAACTGAGAATTATGTCAGCTTAAAGGTTAGCGGGAGAAGGAGAAATTTGAAGCTGATTCTTTAACTCTCATGCATATTAATAATGCACCAAGCATAAGAAGAATGCAGACTTCTATGATTAATTTTGGGCAAAAAACAACTGAACTGAAAAAATGTTATTCCCGCCTGGGAGAATGGCGGGCTCATAGCAAAGGTAACAAGGGATGAAGCCACTCCCTGCAGCTGATGCTGATAGGGGCTGTAAGTCGTTACTATCTGATGGCTGTTTGTTGACCTGCTGTATTTGAATTGAGTTGACAGTTTCACTCAATTTCCTAGGAGGCAAGTGAGCACATCACAAAGTTACACTCGCAGTTGGCACTGGTTGACTCATTTGTTGGCAGGCTCAGCAAAGAGCCCAAATATTAAATGGACTTGGAGAACAAACAACTTCTCATCCCTGGGGTTGTTCCCTCTGTTTCAAGGCTGGAGGTGGTTTGGGGAAGCTGGCACTGATCTCCATGCTGTGTATTTTAAATGAAATTCATTTTTCAGTGTTGTCAGTGTACTTTTTCCAAGTAGTAAGTTTAATTTTTAAAATTATCTGAAAATAATTCTGGTACTCAATGCCTATACAAGGCAGACATGAAGTGCATGTTGGCTTCTTTCTTCTAAGCAATAATTGAAATTTCATGGTAAAGGACCTCTTGAGTTTCTAGCCCCGGATAAAGAAAAATCTAAAATGGCCAACTTGAAATGAACCCATCTTAACCACTTTTAAAGATCAAAAATTGTGTAATTCTTTCCTAATGTTACTTATTTCTGTGTTTCTTGGTACTTCCTGATTCTGTCTGGGACCATACATGAAATTTCTGAAGTACCGTGAAAGATATTTCTCTTGAAAGTTTCTGCCAAGTTTTGCAGGATCAAGAAGCTTGGGATTGTCTGGATAAAGTTCAGATGAGTATCTAAAGGCCAGTGATGCATCTCCCATTGACTTCAAAGCATGCAACTAATGGGATGATCAGGCCTAAGTCTTTAGTCACCTTTCCAAAATGAGTAGAGCTGGACAGGAATTTTCCACTCATGTTTTTTCAATGGAGAATAGCTTCCACAATCTCAACTTTCCACAAGAAAACTTTATTGGCTGTGAATTTTTCAAAATTTTTATAGGAAAATAGAAACAAAATGTTTGTTTGGGACTGACCCAAATCTGGACACTTCAGCATTGAACTGCTTGAGCTGTCATGGAGTCTTATGGGAATTGTGGTTTAATTCTCTATGTATCATTTCCCTCCATTCTCTATGGGCTGGGCTCCCTGGTCAGACTATTACTTCCATGATGCATTGTCTCCCCTCTGGTTGAATTGTCATTGTGCATCCTGGGAAATGTAGTCTGGGCTACGCACGAAGAAACTGGCATTGATGCACTGAAATCGGTCTGGCCACACTGACTTACACCAGCTTCTGAATGGCATACTCAGCAGGCAGATGGAAGTGGCAGAAGTCAATTATGTTACAGAGAATGGATTAGGAGAAAGGTCCACAATATGGTATTTCCTGCTTTCCTATAGGATATGTCTACACTGCATACTAAGCCCAAACTCTGACACAGGTTTAAGCCCAAACCCTTCTTCTGTCCACACACCAATTAATCTGACTTGGGTCAGCAAGCACTTGGGATCTGGGTCCTAGGACCCTGCTAAGGGGGGTGGGTGGGTGAGAACCTGAGTCCTGCTGTGACTCTGATCCAAGCCCTGTCACTTTTCAGTGTGGATGCAACTCCCGAGTCAGAATATTTGCATAGTGCAGCATAGATGTGTTAGTGCAGCTGTAAGACCTGGCTCCAGCAATTGTAAACTCGGGTTTATAATGCAGTGTGGATGCTCAAGCATGGGTTTGGAAATACTGAGTCTACAAGCATCATTTTAAACCAGCTGATGCGCTAGTCCAGGGATCGGGAAGCGGCACGGGCTGAGGGGTGTGTTGGCCACCGCTTCCCGCAGCCCCCATTGGCCTGGAATGGCGAACCATGGCCAGTGGAAGCTGCGATCGGCTGAACCTGTGGACACTGCAGGTAAACAAACTGTCCTGGCCCACCAGCAGATTTCCCTGATGGGCCACGTGCCAAAGGTTGCTGATCCCTGCTCTAGCCTCTTGTGGGTCCTGAAATATTCATACAAATACAGTAACTCCTCGCTTAACATTGTAGTTATGTTCCTGAAAAATGCTACTTTAAGCAAAACGATGTTAAGCAAATCCAATTTCCTCATAAGAATTAATGTAAATGGGGAGGAGGGGTTAGGTTCCAGGGAATTTTTTTTCGCAAGACAAAAGGCTCTCTCTCTCTGTCTCTCTCTCTCTATATATACACACTCACACAGTATAAGTTTTAAACAAACAATTTAATACTGTACACAGCAATGATGATTGTGAAGCTTGGTTGAGGTGGTAGAGTCAGAGGGTGGAAGAGGGTGGGATATTTCCCAGGGAATGCCTTACTGATAAATGATGAACTAGCACTCGGCTGAGCCCTCAAGGGTTAACACATTGTAGTTAATGTAGCCTCAGACTCGACAAGGCAGCACAAATGAAGGGAGGAGACACAGCATGACAGAGAGAGACAGACACACACATGTGTGTGAGAGAAGTGCATTGCCCCTTTAAGCATGCTGACCGCACTAAGTACATTGCCTTTTTAAGTAGATCAGCAAGTTGAGACTGCAGCTGCTGCCAGCAAGCTCCCTCCATCCTGAGCCCTGTAGTGTCCCCTGCCCCACTCTGTGGAAAAGGAGTACAGGAGTGGGGGGCAGGAGCAGGGGGAGGGGGACACCCTGACATTAGCACCCCTCTTCCCCCTCACCTCCTGCATAGCAAGCAGGAAGCTCCGAGGAGCAGCACACGGCAGTGGGGGGAGGGACATCTGAACTGCCCGGCAATTGATGGCCAGAGGGGCTGCCAGTTCCAAGCCCCCACCAGCTAGCTCAAATGGGCTTGCTTTGTCCACTGCTTGCAGAAAGACAAGCGTCTGCCAAACAATATTATAAGGGAGCATTGCGCAACTTTAAACGAGCAGATTCTCTAATTGATCAGCAACGAAAAAACATTAACTGGGATGACATTAAGTGAGGAGTTACTGTATATATCTTTTTTAAAGTGTACTGATGACACTACTCCCATTTTCTGACTTAACAGTGACATGTGCACATTCCTCAAAGTTGAGGATTTTTTTTCCAGTAGCATAAGTTTCCTGAAACTCATTCAGAATGTTAAGTGCCATTAATTTTCTCTTTGAGAAACAGAGCAGTTTTTAGTGAACACTAGACTGTTTGTTCCTGATAAATAATGAACAAACTCTTCTTTGTATAGCACTATGTTTTGAACACTTTCAAGTTATAAACATCCAAACGTTTTGAAACCCCCAAAATGGCACACTTAAGTATTCTGAAAGAAGTTCATTGGACACCTTATGAAAATCCAGAAACCTCCAGGTAAAATAGAGACATATGCCCTCTTATATATTGATGACTACCAAGGAAACTCTTCAACATATTTGTGACTGTGGACTGGGATGACTAACTTCTTCCACTGCAATATGTCAACACTATGCCTCTTTGTAGATCAAATTACTCTAAATGGTTGAAGACATGGTTGGCGTGCATCCTTCTCCAATCCTCAAAAGGCAAGAATATGCTCTCCAAAAAAGAGCTTAATCTTCACAAGTCCAGGCATCAGTGCAATGATCTGCACGATCAATTGTCTTCATGCTCTGAATAATGATGCTTCTCTGAACTCATGCTCAGTTACATTATTTTGAATTTATTTATAGATCTGTGGCTCTGGAGAGAGGCAAGATAGATCTCTTTGCTGCCCCGTTTACTTAAGCAAATGAATAGATCTCTACTATATATCCCCACAAAAACTATAGCTTAACTTCCCCCATTCTCCCAAAATCAGAATCCTTCAAGAATCCTAAAAATAAGTATTGTTTTTGAATAGTTTATCTAGCAAGAATTAACCTTTGGCAAACGTCCAATATGTATAGCTTAATTTCTGAGTGGCTCAAGATATTCAAATTTTATTATAATGTATGCAGGCTTGTACTGAAGAGTTAAGTGAGTTTAAGATACGTAATAATCCAAAGCACGTACTTACATAATTTGAGAAAAGGACATGCTCTGGGATACTGCTGATGTTGCATGCCAGTGGAGAATAAGTTACTCATTTGCTGGGCTTCTATTTAGTGATGAAATATCCTAACAAATTCCAGGATGGAACACCTGACACTTGCAATGGGTATAATAAGAGGCATCAGACCTCTTTCTAGCATAAGGAAAATCTTTAGAATGTGTTTGTGTTGTGGGTTTTTTAACTTACCCACCTCTCCCACACACTTTTTAAGAGGAGACCCTTGTTTTAATTAATTAAAAAAAACCCAAAGGGTCTGAAATTCCATTTACCAGGATCTTCAGGAATGACAGCAACAGCTTGTTGGTGGATTGAACATACATCAGTTTAAGTGGTAGGCAAAGTCACAAAACCAGTTGACAGTTGTTTCTCCTGTCCATCAACACCCCCCAAATCACATAGTATAAGTCAGTGTTTGCTTTGATTAAGCGCTATAGTGAGCTACAAGCAGCACTTCTCGTTTTGTGCTTGGGCCATTGTCCATGGTTGGCTCTGGATTCTGCAAGCTAACGGTGGCCTCCTGCCGTTCCAAGGATGGTGGTCCTGCAGATGCAGCAACAAATGTGAAGTTGTTGTCCTGTACCCTTGGTGTAGTGCGGCACACTCGGGTGGACTTTGAAGAAAACTTGTTGCTGGTGGTAGCAGATGTTTTATCACATTTCAGAAGTGCACAAAAGCACCTGTAAAACTAAGACACAAAACATAAACAATGAGTGAGAATCTTATTTACTCACACCATCTTATTCTGTGTGAAACATTTCACCCAATGGTACTCCTAGGTCCTCCTTTGGGTGCAGCACTTAATTTTCTAGAACAATAATGCAAAACACCATGGGTGGTTAATTGTATCATGTTGCGATTCAACTTGTTTTTGTTGTTGTTTTTTTTACAGTAGCCATCAGAGATCAGGACTCTATTATGCTAGGGATTGTATAAAACCATTTATTGCCTTGAACAGTTTACAAGCCAGGGCACCAATCCCAGCATGTAGGTGGACTGCTGTGCCCATACAGAACCCCCAGATGCCATGGGTTCTGCACAAGTGAAGCATTGGTTGTGTGCAAGTTGTTGTTGGGTCAACTAAGCCATGATGCAGTAGTGAGTATAACAAGCAATACGAAGGATCAGAAGAGCGTGGATAAGGGAAGCAAGTAAAGAACACGCTTAACATAGGCCATCTATGTGCACAGCTAGATTATTCAGATTATCCTCTCTTCCAGAGCTCTGTAGTGTTCTAGGCTCTTAGTTATTTATAGAAAGATAGAGTTCCTACTCAAAGAGCTTCCAATTTAGTTTCAGAAGTAATGCAACAAGAGGGTGAGAAACATGGTAGGAGGCAAGGGAGGAACAAAGATAAGACCAAGATCATGCCATGACTTTGATATGGAGTTTGCACACAATGGGTTTCTATTAAATATAACTGATATTTTGCATAGTTCACTATTTTCTTGTTGACAAACAGCAGAAGTGATTTATAAGGAGGAGTTTAAATAAGGAGAGAGAAGTGGCTTGGCCAGCACAGAATCATAGAAACGAAGGCTGAAAAGGACCTCAAGAGATCATCATGTCATACATGCTTCACACACATGCATGGGAAAAGGTGCAGGGAGTACATGGAAAGGGGTGTCAAGGCTGGAGTTGCTGCAGTTGAGGGGTTGAAGTACCGAAAGAAATTACTACAACTCAGTACTATGCTGACTATACAGAAGATTTTATTGTTTTACCTCACAAAGGCCTTTAAATTACAATGTCCTATTTTCCCATTAAGGTTTTGTTAGCTGTAAAAGCCTTCATTTTTTTCAGAAATGTTCCCCATCTATTTAATTACAAGTCTGAGGAAGCATGATCATGTTGAGTGAGATAGTTAACTCCAGTAGGCTTGTGCAGTGTAATAATCTAAAGGCATGTAGGAATTTCTGTACTGTATATCTGCCTGTTACAACCCAATTCATTTAATCCACTCCTGACTAAAGAGCTGTACTTCTCAGATGGGAGAACTCATGGCTAATAGCTTAGTAGGCTTTATTATAATGACTATGTAATCATAGGCAAAATGCATTAATTCAACCATGATCTAAAAGGCTGCCAGAACCCGCTAATGATATTGGCAAATCAATCGTACTAGCCTGTGGCTGGTTTATTGAAAATATGGTGGAGCTTCAATTAACTGAACATCAGAGCAAGGTTGTCTACCTAATTGAATCTTATTGGGGGAATAAAAAGGAAATTAGGTAGTTTACTGGAGTTAAGCTTTCCAGATAGACTTTTTGTGAGTCAAGCATCTGTTATGCAGTGCTTTTTTTAGATGTTCAGCAAAAAATGGAATGCATTGGAGATTAGAATTTGTCTATGAAGTGAGAGTTAAGGCCATTAGTACCTATTAATTAAACAAATGATTGCTCAAAACATATCACCAGATTGTTGAAAAACGATCATTTGAATGGGATTTTTTAAAGTCAGTTTCAACCAACAGGAAAATTTTGTTGGAGAATTTTCAGTTGGTCAAAAGAGCCATTTTTCATCAAAATGGTTTTGTGCTGCATTACAGAGGTCAGCTCCCAATGCTGGACTTCTCCATAGTTTTTAAAGCAATCTCTACTAATAGTGCTTTAAAGTCTGCTCCCTATAAACTAGAGATGGTGAGTTCTGAAATATTAAATTACTCTTACCTGCACTGAAAAATTCTCAATTGCGTCACAGCATACAAGGAATATTTCCTATTGTTGTCTTCTTTTCCTTCCCCCATTCCCACCCCACCCCTACAGTGGAGAACAGGATTGAATGGTGCATTACAACTGTCACAGGGTGATTGGCCCATTTGAGAGTTGGTCCAGTTCACCTGTGACTAATTAGCTGCCTGATAGAAGGCACCTGGTGTCTGAAAACCTAGGCTGTGTTAGGTAAGGGTTTTCTGGAGCAAGCTCTATGAGCTTTTCTTGATTTCCCCTGAGAGAGCACAAGTTCGGAGCTTCTTGGCAGGGAAGAAGATCTGGCCCAGAGGAAGAACTGGGTAGAGTTGGTGGGTCAGGATTGACTGGAGCTGGGGAACTCCACCAACTGGAAGTCTTATGAGGCAGCTCCTCGGTAAAGGGGAACATCTGTTTCAGCTAGGGGCAGAGGATGATTCTGGAGGAGCTCTGTAGAGGTAAGGAGGCCTGGGGAATGGAACACTGCAGGAGCCCTGAGGTGACAGTTGCAGTAGAAGAGTTGTAAGAAATTTGGAGACTGGTCAGTGGGGTGGAGGCCCTGAAGTAGGGTTGCAGGAGTCATGGAGTAGGGATTGTTGCCTTAGGTAACTAGATGACCTGGAGAGGTGTGTGTGTGTGTCAAGATAGGCACAGGGACAACAAACTTGGTGAACTGCTGCCTCTTTAACTTTAGGGTTTGTGAACTGTTTCAGTTTGAGGGACCTGGGAGTTGAGACACACATTAATAATGATGCCAGAAAACAGAGGTCCTGTTAGACTGTGAGAAGAACTGCTTTCCTTTCCTGGGTGGGTGAGATGGCTGCTGGTCTTGTGGGTGAGGAAAGGAGGGACAACTCAGTTGGCTCTGGGGACTGAAGAAGGGGAAACTGAGGTTGGATGCACATGTTGCACCTGGTCAGCCATTTGAGAGTGTCTTGGTGGGGATGGAACCTGTGACAGAAACTTTAATTGTCATCTCTAGATTTTCACAATTAACCTCTCCACTCCGGTTCTTAAGACTTCTTGTAATTTATTAAAATTACAAGTCATCCACCTTGAAGCTAGTGCAAGAATCTGTGGTGAATAAAGGGAATAACTGAGGAGTTTAAGGATGTTAGAGAAGCTAAATGACTTCTTTGTATTAGTCTCCATTGCAGAGGATAATGGGGAGATGCTTACAATTTTCAGCTAACAGATGAAGCACTGTTAGAGATTAAGGTGTCAAAAGAGGAGGTGGTGAAACAAATTGATGAATTAAAGAGCAACAAGTCACCAGGATCAATATATAGCGGCACCAATTCCTTCTCTTTTTAGTGGTATTACTGGCTTCTGCAGCATTCTCCATCAAGTATAGGGAGTATGGTTTTTGTCTTCTACTTGTACTGTAAGATCTATAGGATAGGGACCACATTTTGCTCTGTTTGTACAGTGTCTAGCACTAGGGAGTCCTCATCCATGGCTCCTAGGTGCTATGGGGATACAAATAAAAAAACCCTTTAAAACTGGAGTGAATCTCTTAGTATTTCCAGTTCCAAAGGAATTTTAAGAATGAAGTGGCTGAGCATCTAAGAGAATGTGCAATCCATCATTAAAAATCAACTATTTTACCAGAGCACTGGACAGGAGCAAATACCATAGTTATGCGTTTTAAAAGGTCTTAGAAGTCATTCTAGGAATTACAGAACAGTAAGTCTATTTCAGTTTTGGATACATTGATTGAAATGATCACATGGAGATAACCATGGTGTGATTTTTTTTTTCCTTAAGTAAAAGAAAAGCATGCCTTCTAACCTACTATGCTTCTTTAAACATGACAGCAAAATCATAGACAAAGGAGAAACAACTAATATAATTAAGGAGGAAGATTTTTCCAAGTGACTTAGGCACCGAACTCCCTTTGAAAGTCGATAGAAATTGGGTGCTTAGCTGCCTTCAGTGTCTTTTGAAAATCTCCTTCTATAAGTCCCTGATGAGACTTTTCAAGAAACGAACTAGTCATGAGGTGAGAGGCAAAATACTGTAATGGATTAGAAATTAGCTCAGAGAAAACAGAGTAGAAATAAATATGCAACTTTCAGCAGGACTAAAGGTTAATAGTGGGGTGCCACATAGGTTCTACAGTTGTCCCAGTATACCTCTACCTCGATATAATGCTGTCCTCGGGAGCCAAAAAATCTTACCGCGTTATAGGTGAAACCGCATTATATTGAGCTTGCTTTGATCCACTGGAGTGTGCAGCATTTCCCCCCCCTTTTCCCTCCGAGCACTGCTTTACTGCGTTATATCCAAATTTGTGTTATATTGGGTCATGTTATATCGAGGTAGTGGTGTATTATTTAATCTGAAAAGGGGGATGAACAATGAGGTGGCAAAACTTGCAGAAGTCGCAATCACTTCTTACTGCAACTAGAGCTGGGTTTGAGAAACTTCACAGGGTGTTGTCAAAGCTGGGTGATCGGGTATTATGCTAGTGTTGAAAAAGTCATCTCTTCCAAATGCACATAGAATGGAATTCTTTGAACTACTCATGCACGCTGCTGGATTCTAAATAACTATGACCAGGGGAGGGCAGCCGGGCGCGGTGGAGGAACAGATGTCACTGTGAACAGGTCAGTGACAGCCTGTGCAATGCAGATGATAAATAGAGTTGTGGTGCATAAGTCTTGGGGCAGAACTTGGTACTGAAAATATTTAATGCCATTCTTGGAACTGATGGCATACCCTCATTGGGAATAATGTATACAGTTCAGGACACTGTCTTAAAGTTACAGCAGAACTAGAAAGGGTTCAGAGACATTCAATGGCCTTGAAAAGCAACACAATTTAAAAAAGGTAAACTTGTATTATTCTAGGCACTGACCTGTGGAGCTCAGTGCCTCAAACTGCTATTGAGGCCAAGAGCTTAGCAGGGTTCAGAAAAGGATAAGAGATTTATGTGGATTATAAAACATCCCCAGTTAGATTAGATGGGATAATGGGATTTAAGAGAGGAAACCCTCAT